TGTGTGTGTGTATATATATATATATATATATATATATATATATATATATATGTGTGTGTGTGTGTGTGTGTGTGTGTGTGTGTGTGTGTGTATATATATATATATATATATATATATATATATATATATATATATATATATATATATATGTATATATATAGTAACCTGAAAAAGTGTTCGCCCTATTAAAACACATCTTGCAGTTTTTAAATAAAAGTTTTTATTATTACAGGAAAACAAAATCTCAAACTACATACTCCTGTGTGAAAGTGTTTACCCTTAAAAATACATAACATAACTCTGGTTTATCACACCCAAGCCAAGAACCAAATAAATATAAATGCATATGAGAAATAAAATAATTGAGATCTACCAGTCTGGAAAAGGTTAAAAGGTCATTTCTAAAGCTTTTGGGCTGCAGTAAACCACAATGGAGATTATTCCCATGAGTGATGATCGGACAACCAAAATTATCCTAAGAGTGCAGCTAAACTCATCCAAGAGGTCACAAAAGACCTCACATCAACATCAACATCTTAAAAACTGTAGACCTTAATTCAAGTGAGTGTTCATGACTCACCAGCAAGTCCACTTCTGAATGGCTGAAGAAATACAAAATGAAGACTTTGGCTTGGCCTAGTCAGAGTCCTGTCCTGAATCCAATGGAGATGCATGACCTTAAAAAGGCAGTTCATGCTGAAACCCTGCAATGTGGCTCAATTACAACTATTCTGCAAAGATGAGTGGGCCAAAATTCCTTGACAATGCTGTAACAGAGTCATTGTAAGTTATCAAAAATGCTTGCAGTTGTTACTGCTAAGGGTGGCCCAAACCGTTATTAGTTTGCAAACACTATCACAAAGGGCTATGTAGTTTTGGATTTTGTTTTTAAAACAGCACAATGTGTTTACTTGTGTTATCTTTGAGTAATATTTAAACCTAGTTTGAAGATCTGGAACATTAGAGTATGAAACATTCAAAATATAAGAAATCAATAAGGGGCAAACACTTTTCACACCATTGTATATATTATTAATAATAAACAATAATGAACAATGTATAAATAATAGTATGTTATACAGTATTACAAAGTAATAATATAATGTTGCCCCAATTTGAAATACAATACACACCTTTCATTTAGACATTTAGACAAAACTGCACTTGATTTGGTTTCTTTTTCAAATATGGCACCAACAGAAACGGTTTCATAACCTGAATCAGTTTTGTGCCCACTTTAAACACTTGCAAGTAACTTCTCAGTGTTCTAGTCTGAAAATCTGTCATATGTCAAAACATAATAAAACCCTCACTTCGATAATCATTACAAACACTATAACATAACCAGTCCAAAACCTCAGCTCCAGTTAGCTTTAATGCACAATATCAGAACAATATCCAGCCATCCTTTACTTCTTTCAGGGGATTTGGGCAATATAGGTCTCAGGCAGGAGGGCGTTTGAGATACGCCAGACATGAGCACATTTAGAAAGACAGTCGTGGCGGTGCACCGTGGCTCCACAGATGGCGTGTCCACTTGACTGGGGAGCAGGAGCCCAGGGGACTGTCGTTTTCTGTTGAGACCGCAATATGTTCCCCTGTCAGCAGGTTAGGCCAACTGGCAAGTGGGAAGAGTGTGGGTGGAAATGAGAAGAGAAAACACTGAAACGTGTGCTTCTTGAAAGGGCGGCATTCAAGTATTTGGAGCAAAAGGCAAGAGAGAGAAAAAAAGGACGGGGTCTGGGGAAAGACCTTGGCCCAAAATATCTCCGAGGACATTCGAGTACACAGGCCTCTACGCATGTGTGAGCTCTTAATGACACACACACATACACACGCATGCATTCACATGTGCACATTCATGAGTTCAGCTCGCTTCAGAGACGCACAGCACCATTCATAAAGCTCAAACTCATATCTGGTACAGCAGAGCCATGGGAAGACAGAAAATAGTCATACATGACTCAAGACAGAGTCAAAAGTGTGTGCATAAAAAATCAGCAATTCTACCTTGCTTTACTCATCCATTCTGTTTCTCTAGCAAACACTCTCACTCGCTATCGTAATCGAAACTTTCCTATTGTGTTTAAATTGGGGTGATGTTTCCTATAAGTTACCTAATGCAGATTTACTTTTACAATAGAAAATTTATTTAAAAAAATTTCATTTTGGATTATTTTACACTCAGAAAATAAACAGCAAGTTCAAATACAAAACACAAATAATTTCAAACTACTAAAGTACATATACTTGTAAACACGTTATTGTTTAATGCAACCCAAGCTCATTATTGATACATACCCTTATATATATTTCTGGAGATTGCGAAATACATTTCAAGGAGCTACGTATTTTTGCAGTTTTTGTTTTTACAAATATACCAGAGGCCGCTGTGTATGCTTTTTGAGATCTCAAATTTATCTTGCAAGTGCCATTTGCGCCTGCTGTTCTTGCATTAATCCACTAGAGGCCGCTGTTGACTGACTGACCTATCGACTGATAACCACCCCTTCCTTAAACCCAACCGATAGTCTTTTTTAAAGCACCAATTGAACTGATCACCCCATTCCCTAAACCCAACCGAAAGCATTTTTTCAAAAGCAATCCAGAAAAAGAAAAGCCCTCGCAGCCACATGATTTTTACCACATTTTCAAATATTACCACGTTCTCCCTCTGTTATTTTTATTTGTTTATTTTATTTTTGCCTTATGTTTTATCTACTTTCTGGAACCGTTTTTCGCCAGACTCAAACCCTGTCATCGCAGTCAACTTCTCTCTGCCTCTCAAGTCCGCCAGTGTACATGGCGAGCTACTGGGCAAACTGGTAACAGAGTAAAAGTCGTCCACACGGAGGTAAGCGGTCAGCTTGTAGCGTGAAAAGAAACAGAAGCAGTCTGCGACATCATACCATCCGGTAGTGTTCGTTTTAAATAAATTTTCATCTCCAAAAATGTATATGGGGGTACGTTTTCACAATGAGCCTGTGTTGGTTTATTTAACTTTACCATAAAGTTTTTATGGTGTTTATGAAAACATTTATGTATTTATGAAAACACTCCATTATAATCACTTAAGATTTTAATCGCTTTCAACAATTTGTATATGATGAGATAATGTAAAACCATGCACACAACAAAAGTTTTTTTTTTTTTTTTTTTTGTAGAGACTAAACTAGATGTCTCTGATCAGCTGCATTCATAAGACCAATAGGAACATGCATGAATGGTTATCAGGCTTATTGCTGCAACAAATACAATTAGGTCCATAAATATTTGGACATCGACACAATTCTAACATTTGGCACTATACACCAACACAATGCATTTGAAATGAAATGAATGACATGTGCTTTTATTGCAGGCTGTCAGCTTTAATTTGAGGGCATTTACATTCAAAACAGGTGATTGGTGTAGGAATAATGCTGCGAAATGATGTCGTACGGCGCTGCGAAAATGGGCGGGATTAAACAAGATGATTAGACATTTAAAAAAGCAAGCGATTGATCCATATTTAAAATTTGTGTCAAGTGAGGTTCTTGTTTGATCCTCAGTAGGTCTCACAAAGTCAAGCGATGAGATTTCGGTCAGAGTTCACCAAGTTTGAACTTCGCAATGGAGTGAACTGCAAAACTTGACGCACGAACTTGCGTTTCCGGTCTGACACATTCCCGTGCGTATAAATGGAAGTGTATGGGGAGAAAAGTCCAGTGTGACCACAGCTTTACAACAGTTTTTCTGTGTTGTTCCATGGTCAAGTGTGGGTTATTGCTAATAATTATCCCACTTGCAATGAGCAGATAAAAGGTCTAGAGTTCATTTCAAGTGTGCTATTCGCATTTGGTTGTGTTGGTGTATAGAGCCAAAAACGTTAGAATTGTGTTGATGTCCAAATATTTATGGACCTAACAGTATATAAATGAATGTAATGGCACAAATTGACTTTGTTAATTAATTTTCACATTTATTTTTAAATCACAACCACTGCATTGTTCAGTTTAAATGTGCAGATGTATTTTTGCTCCTATAATCTTGTATATATGACACTCAAATATACAATAAAAATGTATTGAACAATAGATGCAACCTAAATCCGAAAGTACATAAATAAAAACTGAAGCTATTAAGAAATCTAAATAGCTGCATTAGTTTAATGTTCTTCACATTCTTTTTACATCTACAAACAGTACAGTTAACAGTTTTAGCCTTGATATTAGGTCAGCGCTTTCAGCTTTTACTGTATTAAAAACTTGAAAATCAAAGGGTGTTTAACAGTATTTTACAATACTGTATAATGCATCCTTGCATGAATTTGTTCCTTATAGCCTAATACATTTAAACATAACACAAACATTTTTCACTTATATTATAGAGACTATATGCTTTTACACTAAGCCAGAAAAGCCTTCGAATCCTTGATCCCAAACAGCTTGCAGAAACAATTCTTTAAATTTACATGGCATTATTTAGCAGTATATAGTCCCCATGAGTTTTACTATCCTTGTTGGAAGGACGTTTTTTGTTCCTCACTATAAAGGCAAATCCTGACACACGCTCAGAAGCAGCGTGTGTCCCCCTTCTCAAATCCCCACAACCGCAGTACACTCTTTCCTCGTGGCGTTACCAAAGTCAGCACTAGGGAACCGTCCAACATCCATGACACACACACGCAGCGGGCGCAACGACACGAGCTCACCGTCCAACCAAAACTACGCCAAGTGCGACAAATAACACAAAGGGACAAAACTCACAGCTAACAATTCAGGTAATTCCCTCACTGTCGCAAAAATAGCGTCACATTTACACACGTATCATCTAAAAGGGTCATTTCATTCTATTACGTGTCCGCAGACGAAATACTTACGGTTAAGGACTATAAGAAACGAACTGACTAGATCTGTCATACTTGGCTCGAAAGCACCGAAACGAATCGATCTGTCGACTTAACGGCGACGGTAACGAGCATGAAGACGGAAGAGCAGAAGTGAGAGCGAGAAACTCACCCTCCAGTCAGCGCTGCACGGCCGTCGAGTGGAACCAGCGGACGCCAGGAAACCTTCACAGATTTTGCAGTTTTCTCCTCTCTCTCTCTCTCCCCGTCACTCTCTCTAACACACACACACGCGTGTTTTCTCTCACTCTCTCTCTTTCTCCTCCTCGCTCTCAGTCTTTCGGCACTGCGGTGATTTGGCTGAATGGGAAAGGAGTGACAGAGGAGAGACTCTTTCACTCGTACAGTTTGACGCTGATGAGGCTCAATAAGGTCACAGTTAGATTCAGGTCTGCATATGTCAGTGAAGGCATGTGAGTCACGTAAGGATAACAGTTAATTAGCAGATGGCTCCCTAAATAAGAAAATTGTGCCCTCCAAAACTATGCATACGTGCTTACTTAAGCGTACTTAATGGATACTTTTTTTAAGTGTTCTGATTTCAGGATTTCCCGAATGTTTAAGCAAGTCTTGTCTGTCTATCTACCTATCTATACCATAATTTATATAAACACATGTACGGGATAGTGTATGGTAGTTAAAATATATTAAACAGAATATAAAATAGTTCATTAATTTCTCAATCAATAGCTAATATACTATATATCAAATTAAATATACACATCCTTGTGTATAAACGCAATATCACACGAGTAGCAGTGCGATATGACTGCATGTCGACACTGCTGGGAGGCGTGCCGAACAGTGGTGTCCCACCAGTGCCGACATACAGCCATATCGCACTGCTACTAATTTGATATTGCATTTATACAACAGTTCAACAGCATAATCTTGTATATAAAAAGAAAATCAAACACGTAGAGTCTAAAACTTTTGTAGAAAATTCTTTCATCTGCCATTTATTCACATCTGCAGCTGACGTCAGAACAGCAGAAGTCATTGCCAGTTCACAAATGTCACTTTAGAGCTAGTGTTTGAATGATTTTCTGACGTACTGTCTAAAGTGTTGCAAAACAGAAGATTTTGTTGACATTTTAAGATTATAAGGCTGAAAGACAATGCCATCAGTTTAGAGAGATTTTCCAGTATTTCTCTGTTGCAATCGGGAGATCGGAATAATTAACCCCGAAAAGCCAAAGCAAATCCTACCAGAAACACTACCAAACTATGGTAAACATACAGCACTGCAACATACAAGAGAGATTAACATAGAAAGTAATTTACCTATTTAATATTGATTTGATCAGTTGTAGTTTTAAATTACACTGAGTTTTAAGAGCATATTATGCAGTCTCTGTCGCCATCTTGTGGCTGAACGTCAACCATCTTTGCTCTGCTCAGTATGACAGACTGATGGATGCCGACGTGCTGTATCTCAGAAATGATAAATATTTCAAACAGGCACTATCTTTATAAATAAACTGCATAGTTACATCTAAACATCCACTTTCTGATCTAAAAAAAACCTCAAAAGTACATTAACAGTTGAAATATTTGTCAAACTGTAGTGATATACATATAAATAAATATATATATATATATATATATAAATATAAATATATATATATTAGTGCTGTCAGAATTAAGGAGTTAAAGCTGCGATTAATTTAAAAATTTTAATGGGTTAAAAAAAATTAACGCAGTTGCAGGATTTTTTTACTTCCTGTTGTGGTCGATGTGTGTTTAACATGCAAAGAAATATGGATAAGACCAAGGAAGCACTTTTTGAAGGCAACTTTCAGTATAAAACAATTAATGTCGCATCACCAGGCTCTCCAGAGTTTCCTCCAGCGCTTCATGCAATTTCAGGTGTGTCATTTTTAACTTTCGACTTTTGTTTTAATGGAATTTGATACCGCATGGCGAACTGAAAGAAAAACCTCCGCATTTCGTGACTTGGTGGTCCTTCGCTCCTTACATGGTCGACTCTTAATAAGAGTATTATCTTAATCATATTAAAATCGGAGTATTGGTGTCTCATGTAAATAGACTCAGAAAGTGTAAGATGAAGTTGCGAACTGTCAAAGACAGTGCATTCCAATGCCTTTTAACATGAGCCCTCCAATGTTTCATTAAGTTTGACGTGTTTCCTCCTTAAACACAATGAAAGCGTATGATTCGAGTTGTTGTGTCAGAATCCTTGTGAAATACAACCACACTAGAACGCTTAGTTTAAGCAAATTTGATGAACGCGATCATGAGTGTTGAATCTGAAGAGAGTCGCTCCAGCTGCCTGTCATTGCACGCGTTGTGTGTGTGTCTGTGTCAGGCCTGTGCACAGAGCAAAGACTCTTACAGGGGCAGGTACTCAACGCGATCGCAAAGTGAAGAGCAAGTGCCTCCTGAGAGGTGCACCTCAGGCAATGAGGGCAAAGGGGCAGTGGCTCTAGCCACCGGGCCACCCCCCTGTCCACGGCTCTGGTCTGTGTGTGTGTGTGCGCAGTGTTTCTTAGCAACAAACCTGCCTAAACGTCGTTATCCGTATCCACTAAATCAAAAAGTTACAAATTGCCGTGAGATTGCGTTGCACTCTCAGCTCACATCATTCAAAAGAAAAGGTCCACATTGTCCCCCGATAATGTCAACAGACTGGACTGTCTTACCAACTGGATGAATGTAAAGGAGGACTGAGCAAAATTGTTTCTACTTTATAATTAATGTTCTAAACTAACAGCAATACAACTTTACAATGAGTACAATTGTTCAGCACTTTATTATTGTTATTATAATTGTCCAGTTTCCATATCTGCAATGGTTGTATTTTGGCTTTTTTTTTAGCAGTCCACTTAAAATCCAATTTGGAAATAATTTTTTTCTTTATTGGCATTGATTGTTTTCAAATTCAAACAGCATTAATATGCCTGTGTTTTAATTTCTGTTATAAATATGGCTGTCAAGCGAGGATCTTGATGGTTTATTGTGGGTATGTTGTTTACAAGAAAAATCTGTGTAACAAGTTAAACAAAAGTTCTAATAAACAATTATATTTTGAATTTAAATAGTTTTTGTCTTCTGTTTACGTTAATTTTACATTTGAATAGTCAAAATTATAAACAAAATTAATTTTAAATGTGATTAATCGCGATAAATTTTCAACAAAAAGTGTGATTAATTAGTTCATTTTTTAATCAATTGACAGCACTAATATATATATATATATATATATATATATATATATATATATATATATATATATATATATATATATATACATTTAATATATATGCGATTCAATAATATATGAAGACATATTAACACATATATATTTATATTACATCTAAATATGTAATATAAAACCTACTGTAACTTTATCTATCTAGTTAGATGGTTCAAAATTCACTGTTGCAAATGATTATTGTAAAAGTGTGTCTTACATAGGGGTTTGAAAGTTTAACTCACATTAATATTCCTTTAGCTTAGTCCCTTATATATCAGTGGTTGCCACAGCGAAATGAACTGCCAACTATTCCGTCATACGGTTAACGCAGCAGATGCCTTTCCAGCTGCAATCCAGTACTGGGAAACACCCATAAACTCTTTCATTAACACACACTCATACACTACTGCTAATTTAGATCATCCAATTCACTTATAGCGCATGTTTTTGGACTGTCGGGGAAACCAGACACACGCATGCACACATATAAGCAAAAGTTAAGCTATATCAATATTTTCATGCCTAATATTTAGTGGGAACATATCCTAATTTAACCTTAAAGTCAAGTAGAACTGCAAACTTGTGTCAAACTTAATAAAGAAAGGATGGCGGATAACAGATGTTTGGGTTCATGATGCGCTGTCAGATGTCCAGTGTGTACTGCAGTGAATTTAAACTAATTCTGCCGTAGGAAACGTAGAGATGCCGCTAGACTGCAGCACATAAGCAGATGTTTATAACACTGCAGTGTGTGTGTTGTATACAGCCTCTTCATGTGTGTCTGTACGTGATAAACCTTTATATGATATAGAAAAATTGTGTGTGTGGTTCAAGGTGCTGCGCAGCCTTGGGCTTTTTACTACACAGCCTGTCCATGCAGCAGTGAAGCACTGATGTTTGTGTGCAGTTATTCAAGTTTGTTTGAGTTTGGAAACATACTGTACAGTGAAAAACGAAAGCTTGTCAGGTGGAGAAATGTAAATGAACACCCATTTTTTAGTCCACAGCTTCTTCTTTTTTATTTTCAGTGAACGATGTTTAACATTCAGTCAATCCTGTCAGGATCAATAATAGAGCTGAAAAATAGATTTTGAACTTAATATTTCAAGCTCTCATTTTTTATGCTTTGTTACACAGTCAGGCTTACTGGCAGTGATAAAAAGGAATGGGTAAGGAAGAAATGCACCAAACAGAGAATCACAGATGCCTATTGAAAACTTGGGACTTTGGCAAGATATTATTACCCCATCAAGCCCTAACATTATGTTCTGCATCTAAAATTATTAACTCGAATTTGTGACAAAAGTTGTTGTTTTTTTACTTAACAAGGCTATATAGCAGGGGTGGCCAACCCTGTTCCTGGAGAGCCACCTTCCTGTAGATTTCAGTTGCTACCCATATCAAACACACCTGCCTGTAATTATCACGTGGTGTTCAGGTCCTAATTAATTGGTTCAGGTGTGTTTGATATGGGTAGCAACTGAAATCTGCGGGAAGGTGGCTCTCCAGGAACAGGGTTGGCCACCAGGCATGCACTAAATTCCAGGGGTTTCATTACCACAATGTAAAATAGGCGTGGCTCGGTCTGTGTTTGGGAAACGCCCCCCAAAAAAAACAATACTGAGAGGTCACCGATCATGTGCAGTACAGGTTCTTTTTTTGCGCGGTCATTTCAAACAGAATCATTATGGATATAGAACCTACCGCGGTGGATAACGGAGGAAAAAACAATCATACAGGTTATTTTTTGCTTTTATAATGTTATATTTTAAAGATTTCAGTAGCAAAAACAGCTGACCTCGTTTTACTCCGTTTTACTGTCTCTGGGCTTTTGTACCTCCATGGTAAACCACAAAATAATAATAATGGTTGTGGTAAATTAGATTAAACGTATTTTTGTAGTTTAAAATATGGTATTCAGTCATGTTTAAACAAATAAATACCACATTTTCTGTAATAAACCGTGGTTAATTTTTCTTTCTCTATCTTAGTTAATTAACAAAACTTATATTTATTTTCTATTTTTATTTAAAGTCATCATACACAAAACACCTGAGATCAGGACAGGTATCTGATGTTAATGTATATAATATAAAAGTGATCATACACAAAACACCTGAGATCAGGACAGGTATCTGATGTTAATGTATATAATATAAAAGTGATCATACACAAAACACCTGAGATCAGGACAGGTATCTGATGTTAATGTATATAATATAAA